CGACTCGACGGCACATAACAACAACAACAACAACAACATGTGACACAGAATGAGTAAAGGCGGGCAAAGTAGCCAGCCCGTCAAAAGCCCACCCACATGACTGATCCCCGACCCACCAACCATGATCTCGATCCCCCTGCCCTGACAGGGCACCCAAAAAAAGCTATAAAAGCAATTGGGAGGGGGGACTTGGGCCTTTTTCCCTCGCCATGCCACCATCTTACAGAGGGAGAAAGTCTCCACATGTGGAGTTAATAAAAGTTCTTGAAATTTTCAGACATGTGATTGGATCTCCTTTGAGGGGCATTTCATGGGCAGAACAGTACATGTTGAGAGTTGTGACTAAATAAACTTATGTTAGCTTTTCCCCTACCATTATCCAATAAATAACTGCTCACATGAAAACGCCAATACAAGACAGTAATCTTAAAGCATTTATTCAAGTTGAAGCATTTTTGTTAAACTGTTTTGTTGATTGTTGTTGTGATTTTTGAGTCAGAAGTAACTCATAGCTGACCCTTCAACAAAAACAGGTTTTTTTGATAACGGATTTTTTCTGATGAATTAATTTAATTCTCCTCTGTCATATCTCCCTCAAAACCTGTCTGGAGGAGGTTTAGCTTTATATCAAGAGTAGGGCCTTGTGCCAAAGGGAACTGGAAAAAGGAAGAGATTTCTAGGTCATAGTGGCAGAAAGAGCACAAAAAGTGGTCATGAAGAAAAGGATTACATAAATGACTTAAAAATGGAATTAAGCAGTTAAAATTGCATAGTGGAATGTACTTGGGGCAGTGGGAGAGGTGGGGGGGGGGGTGGATTGTGTACCAGGGTGGGAGTTTTTCTTTTACTTTTCAAAGAGAGGAGTGAACTGGGGAGGGAGGGGGGTAGGGGGAAGGACTGGGTGGGGAGAGAAGTGCAGCAATGAATGAATGGAAATCCAAAGTCTCTGTAAATGTTCATTAAAATTATTAAAATTTAAAAAAAAAAGAAAATACCCCCCAAAAAGAATTAAGGTTAGCAATTCTTATAGGACTTAGATTAGAATTATGAAGTATAAAGAAGGGATCTACATTAATATTAGGATACTAATAAAGAGACCAAGGAGATAGATTGTTGCAGACTGAGGGTAAAGTATATTAATCATTAATAATGAGACAAACCACCAAGAATGTATAAGTAAACAGAGAATGTAAAAGACAGGGGGCCAGCAGTTTGAATCAACTGCAACATGCCTCTGTGTAGTTATTGAGAATCAGGGGAAGAAAATCATAAAGAGAATTCTCTTGTAAATGAAGCCAAATTTTTCTCTGTAGTCAACCTAATGCTTTAGCTCAGGAAGGAAGTATTTCACACATATTAACACGCCCTGTGCAGGGAGACCCTAACTGTCTCTTTGTTGCAGGAAACAGCTCATTTCCTGTGATCTGTCACAAGAGAAATTCCAACTTGGGTTATTCCTTCAATTTCTGAATAAGCATATGGTTTTTTATATAATATTTGGTATGAAATTTGGCTTTCCATAATAGATTAGCACACAGATGGCTGGAATAAAGATTAGAACTAGAATAGCATTAACACTGCTTCTCTGTGCTCGTGCAGGAGAGTAGATGGTGAATCAAAGCCATTTTGTATTGGGACTAGAATGAAAACTTGGATTTTCCTCTTTGTTTTTTATTTTGTCAGTATGATAATTTGGTATAGCTGTTATCACCATGGGAAATCTGAGAAATAACATACAGAATTAGGACCCCAAGAAAGTGCTTCATGTTGAGAGTGAGACTTGTTCAATTCACACATTTAATAACTCACTCACTTATTCACTCACTCATCTATAGAACTGATAGGGTGGTATTAATAAGTTCAGAATTCTCTATATATGTATCAGTTATAAAACTATAGTTATAGAATTATAAAACTAACATTCGTTTTCTTCAGCCTGCAAAACTAGTTACTTAGCCTCCAGATTCTGTTTCATTTCTTTAGTCATGTAAAGTAGTTTGATCTGTCTGTTTACCAGAAGAGGAAATGCATCCCTCCTAGATCTCTCTGAGGCTGTTTCCCATTCATATGTAAATTGTATCTGCCTGTTTACCAGGAAGGGGACTTTGCCCTTCCTGAATTATTAGTACTTAAATATGAACTGTTCTTTTCAGATGTAGAAATTCTTTTTTTTTACTCACAAAAGTGCATTGTTAAGTGAGTTTCACCCTGGTATATAAGCCCTTGACCACTCCCAGGTGGGGAGGCAGTCTTTGAGGCTGAGACCCACTGTCCTCCACAGATCTGTAATAAAAGTGCTTTTTTTTAAAGAAAGAATCTTTCTTTTACTTTTCAAAGAGATGAGCAAATTGAGGGGAGGGAGGGGTTGTCAGGAGAAAAATGCAACAATGAATGAATGGAAATCCTCGGTCTCTGTAAACTTTTATTAAAATTAACAATAATAAAAAAATTTAAAAATGTTAAAAAAGTGCTTTTATGGATATTACAATCCATTTATCTTATTGGCGACTGACTACGGAAAGAACCCCTTGCATTCAGTAACAGAACTGGTTCCTAATTTTCTGAAAAATTCTGGAAGCTTGTCACCTGCTGGCTGAGCTAAACCAGGAACACACATGTAAGGTGTAAAAAAAGTTTTAAGAGGGCTAGTGTTTCTAATTGCCATTTCAAAGCATGTGATGAACCCTTATTCCAGGGAAGCAAAATCTCCCTCAGCTCAGAAATCAAGTCAGATGAATTTCCAAGTTGGGAGGAATTTTTTAAACTGAGACCTCTCACTTGAGCAGGGGAGGCATTATTTGCTTTTAAAAGAGAGGGCTCAAGGATGAGCTGAGCAGTCTTTAGGAAACATTTATATCTATCATCTATCATCTATCTATCTATCTATCTATCTATCTATCTATCTATCTATCTATCTATCTATCATCTATATCTATCTATCTATCTATCTATCTATCTATCTATCTATCTATCTATCATCTATCTATCTATCTATCTATCATCTATCTATCTATCTATCTATCTATCTATCTATCATCTATCTATCTATCTATCTAATTTTAACTCTGACATTTTTAAGCTGGTATCTAGGGAGTTGTGCTGCTAACCCATCTAGGGTATTTCTCTCTTGCGCTGTCCCTTCACCCTCCCAAGAATGACGTCCCTCTCTAAGGACTGGTCCCTCTTTGCAACATGGCCAAAGTATGTCAGATAAAGCTTCAAAATCCTTGCCTCCAAGGAGCAGCCTGATTTAACCCTCTCCAGGATGAACCTGTTCATTCTCTTAGCAGTCCATGGTATTTTCAATACTCTTCTCCAAAACCACATTTCAAAGGCATCAATTTTCTTTTTATCATCCCTAGTCTCTGATGAGTGATTGCAAAGATCATGATCTGGATCAGGTACACCTTAGTCTCCAGACTGACATCATTGCTCTTCATTACCTTGGAGAGGTCTCTGACAACAGACTTTCCCAAAGCAATACATCTTTTAATTTCCTGGCTGTTGGTGCCAAGAGTGTTGATTGTGGAGCCAAGCAAACTAAAGCTGTTTACTGCCTTTGAAAACCCACTGGCACATAACGTTAGGTGACTAGGATTAGATGCAATATCATATCTGGCCAGAAGATGGCATTAATGTCCCATAATCAAAGTTGAGCTGCCTGCCTAAATGTTAAGATGCTTCTCTGTTCCAGCTGCTCTGAAAACCCTTAGGCTTTAGCTTCAAACCTAAGGTTACTCGGATGAATGTTTGTTGTATGAAAACAACAGTGTGCATTTGAGGGACTGCCTGAGACAGGAATGGGTTTGGATTTTAGTTTTAACACTTTGTTCTCTTGCAGGAGTTTCTAACTTTATCTGGATTTTGGCTTTCCCTCTCTCATGCTGCCCATTAAGGAGTAAAATAGAATAAGAGTTCAAAACAGAAGACATGTAAGGAGATGGAAGTAGACCTGAAGGAGAAACAGGCTATAGTAGGGCTTAGAAATGTGGGCAAAGAAATAATGATGATGTGACATAAGGAAATGGAGTTAGAAACTCAAAACGATAAAATTAGGGACACGATCATAGAAGTAAGAAATGTTTGCAAGAAGATAGCTACAAGAGGAAATAGTAAATTTGAGTTAGATGGTGATTCAGTAGTATAATTCTTGCCTTCTACTCAGGAAACCTGGATTTAACTTCTGGTCATTGTTCTTCAGTGCAGCCACTGCTTGTCTTTCCATAGAGACAGGGTTTCAGTAGATCTTCCAGAAAAAGAAGAAATAGGAAGAGAGGTCTGGTGACCTACTACCAAAAAAAATCCCAGCCAATGAAAACCATGTGGATTACAACAGTTTTATCCTGTTGTGCATAGGGTTGACAGTTGAGAGTGGACCTGACAACAACAGCAACTGACAACCACTTTCCTTTATTTTTGACGTCAATTTCTACCTCTTACACATGCATGCATGCACGCACGCATACTTACACAACCACATATGCACTACCATCCTTTACTGGGAAATGATGGGTGTGCAGAAGGCAGGGTGGTAGAGAATGCAAACTTACTGACAAAATCATGGTAATCTTAGACTTTTAAAGTACATTGAGCAGCTAATCCTCATCTTTACCTGGGATCCACATCTTTCCCCAGCAGCCTCATGAATGCCCTCTTTACCTCCTTGTTCCTCAGCGTGTAGATGAGAGGGTTGAGTGAAGGAGTGCCCACCGCATAGAAGAGACCAAAGAATTTAGCCCTCTCTTGGGCGTAGGAATTTTTGGGCTGGAGGTAGACAGCAATGACTGAGCTGTAGAAGAGGGTGACCACAATGAGATGGGAGGAACAGGTCCCAAAAGCCTTCTTCCTTCCTGTTGCAGAGCCAATTCTCAGCACTGCCCGGGCGATGGCACCGTAAGAGACAAGGATGAGGGTGAGGGGAACGACCAAGATGAAGACACTGGCAATGGCCATCTGGATCTCATTGTAGGTGGTGTCTCCACAGGAGAGTCGGATCAGAGCTGGGACCTCACACACAAAGTCATCTACCTGCCGATGGGGACAGAAGGGCAGGCGGAGGGTAGGTGGGGTCTGAACTACTGATTCCACCAGCCCAATGACCCAGGCCACAGCCGCCAACTGCCAGCACAGGCGGGGATGGACGATGGTGGCATAGTGGAGGGGCTGGCAGACAGCCACATAGCGGTCAAAGGCCATCACTGTCAGGAGGATGCACTCAGTGGTCCCCAGGAACAGGAAGATAAAGAGCTGGACAAAGCAGCCAAGGAAGCTGATGGTCTTTGGGCCCCAGAGGTTGAACAGCATCTGGGGGACACAACTTGTGGTGAAACAGAGATCCAGGAAGGAGAGGTTGGAGAGGAAAAAGTACATTGGAGAATGGAGTCTGGGGTCCAGGACGGACAGTAGGATGATGAGCGTGTTTCCCACCAGGGTCAGGAGGTAGGAAGTCAAGACAACCATGAAGAGGATCTTCTCAAGTCCTGGATGTTCAGAAAAGCCCAGGAGGACAAAGCCTGTTGGGGAGCTCTGGTTGACCATGGCCTCTTCCTTTAGACCTTAGAGAAAGAAGAGATCTGTCAGATGAGTGTGTTTCACATCTTTTTTCATAAGAACTCACCAAGGATGTGTTGGGATAAAGATGGGGTCAGTTGATAGTGCTGCTTTACTGATTGAGGGTCAAGAAGCCAATACAACATTTGAATTAATGAGTCGATTGATTCAGTCATTCAGGACATATTTGTTGAGTGTAACTCTGTAGTGTAACAGAGTCAGAAATGATTTGGTAAAGGGTTTTCAGTTTGATTTTCATGTTCTCAGAGCTACTCTATTGCCTCTTATTTATCTGTTGGATAAATTTTAGGATTATATGTTATCTCTATAAATAATAAATCTGCTCTTGGTCTGAATGAATTTTGTAGAACTATTTATATCTCATTTATTAATAAGGGAACTTATCAGATAGAGAACAGTCTCTGAGGGATTTTTCTTTGTGAAACATCCCCTTTCATAGAGAGACCAGCTCAAGTTTTCCTGGCAACCTTTTTTGCTGAACCAAATGTCCTGACTGGGAGAACTAACCCACATTTGCCCCCTCCCTGCCCTGAGAAGCTTTTATGCAGAATAGAGTGGTCCCAGGCAGTGCATTTTGAGTCACTGAGGAGCTCATGAGAATATTATTAAGACTCCAAAACTCTGAAGACTGAATGGTACCAAGATACTGGGTGACAGAGGAAAAAGTCTCTGTAAGGTAAAGGCCAGTTTGGGTGGCTTTATCAGGCAAAGATTTCTAGAGGAGGTAACTAGATGTTTTTTTTTTAATTCTATGAAAGAGAGGATTTTGGGGGCCCAGAGGCTGATCAGGGACTAGAGTAGAGGCTACATCTACTCTGCCAGTCGAGAGGCAAGGACATGGGATTGGTGCTTTGGCTTTATGTCTTCTCATCAAGCCAAACTCATTGCCAATTCTGATTTGTAGTGAATACATAGGAAAAAATAGAACTTCCTCTAGGGGTTCCAAGGCTGCAGTCTTTACAGAAGCAAACCAGAGTGCTATTATCTTCCTCCTGGGCCACAGCTGGTGGTTTCAAATGGTTGAACTTCTGGAAGCAGCTGAATGCTGTAACTATTTTATCACCAAGACTTACGAGAAAACCTGAGAAAGGCCATTTAGAAATTGAAGTGTCTACAAGGGAGAAGGTGGTAAAGCTGGAGAAAGTGCCCTCAGAACTTATGGGATTGCATGAAAATCTTTCCAACACTGAATCTCTCTCCATCTACTTAATGGACCTCTTTTCTTTCGGTGAGGAGTTACTGATTTTGCTCTTTCTTTGTACCTTTCCTATTTTCTTCTCATTGTTTCCCTCCCTCCTTCTCATGATATTAACTTTAAAAAAATTGTTACATATTCAAAGAAATGTGTGACCCCCCCACAAACACATAAACCTGACCAAAAATACCCCCAAAACCACCCAAACCTCCTATGGGTTAAAAACTCATATGTCCATCAGCCAATGTTCCAAAGGTCTTAAAGGCCTTTAAGGTTTGGGTGTTCTTGTTTACCTGTTTACTCTCCCATTTCATCCTCAAACCTAACCACCATTCTGAATCTTTAAACTTTTAACTAATAACCCCCTTTTTGAGGTATAATTTACATGCCACAGAATTAAGCCATTAGCAGTATATAATTTAATGTTCTACAATCAACACTCATTTCAGAAAATTTTTATCATTCCCCAAAGAAATCTACTCCAACAGGAATCATTTTCTGTAGTTTCTTCTTCATAATGTAAAGCATTTTTACTATGATCCTAAACAATAGCCAACTCTTTTTCTTTTGTTCAGGAACTCTCATCCTAATGAATTTTCTGCATTTCTTTTTACCGTTTGGCATTTCACTCCCTCTCTTTTTTAGTCTTATTTTTGAAATCTTTGAATTACATGCATCTTCCTTGGTGACTCATCCTTTCTGTCTGTCTTTTATGCTTTTGTTTTCTTTTCCCCTTTCTCCTCGTGTTTTCCTCTCTAACACATTCATTAATGTTTGCATTTATTCATTTTTGAGGTCTGGGGTGCCAGCGTTGTGCCAGGCACTCGGGGCGAGGGAGCTCCTTTAAAGGAGTTTATCACAATCTAGTGATCATTACTTGCTATAGGTAATACTTGCTACCATCAGCTGAATGCTTCTTTGGGTGTCAAGCATAGCATCATGCAGTTCCCTGGACATCTAGATCTCACAGCAACCTTGGAGATATATTATGTCAAGTTTGGAAAAAAATTAAGCGGACTCAGAAATGTTAGGTGACTGTCTAAGATTGCCCAGGGCTAGATTTCTTGACCCTATTTAACTCCAAATGTCATGCTTTCCTATTTTGAAACTGATGTGGAAACTGGTGTCTTACAGGCAAAGAATAAATTTTCTGCTTACTTATAATCGAACAGAATTCTCCTTGGTGCTCTGCCGCCTGAGATCGCCCCTGATAAACCTCTCAACCCACCCGTAGCCTTTACTTACTAGTCTTTGGTGGTTCATCGGTAGAATTTTTCCATGCTCAAGCACTGAGTTTGTTTCTGAGCCAGGCACCACCTGTCTGTCAGTGGACATTTGCAATTTTGCATGTTACTGTGATGATGCTGAATAGATTTCATGAAGAAAAGCCTTTTATTCTAAAAATCAGCCAGTGGAAACCCTATGGGTCACAATAGTCTGATCCATAAGTGATCTTGGGGAAGGAAGGTGTAGAACTGGGTAATAGACTTTTTTCCATTGTGCGAGAGATGATGCTGTGAGCCAGAAGTCAACTCAGTGGCAGGTAACAACAACAACAACAGACTATACATGGACATTAGACTAAAACTGAAACTGAACTAAACAGAAATGATCACCCTTGAGTAGGTGGTTATATCTCTGTCACAGAAAATATTACTAATACTTATTATGAGATATTTATCTCATTACTACATATTTAATTGATGTGCTAAAAACTATTTTAGGATCTGTTTTTGACTGTCTTGTTTATTAGATTTTAGAAAATTTTTGAGCTAATTATTAAACCATTAGTGGCCAGTTCTCAATGTAAATGGATATATTGGGAATATATACACTATGGAAATTGATGAACACTACAAATCAGGGCTCTGTCTCTCTCCTCTCAGTTCTGTTGTTAAACATTACCAGAACACCTGTAATTGCCTCTCATAACAACAGTATGTGCTGTCATCTTCTTTTTAAAATAAAGAAATTGAAGCAAAGAGAGGTCAAATAATTTGTCTAGGCAAGCTTAGCTAGTGAGCATCAGAGTTAAGATATAAACCCAAGTAGACTGACTGGAGGGTCCACCATATGTCTGGCAGGAGGAGGAGACCAAGGGAGATCAGAGGTACCTCTCTGCTGTGGAGCTCTTGGCCAGTCATTTTCCCCTCAGTGTGGGGAAAAGTTAGCCTCTCTTTTTGGTATGAGATGTAAAAAGACAGACTTGGCGTGGAGGGATCCCAGGACTCCCATCCCAGGGAGAGCAACATCTCATTAATTCTGCTAAGACCCTGGGGTTCCACAGCTCTCAGATAACTAGTTAAGCACTAATGATGGTAGAAAGAGGAGAGGAATATCTAGAGAAAATATCCCAGCAACATCCCTGGGGAAAGGAAAATGGTCACCCACTCCTTCTCTCTGTCAGTTGGAAAAACAAGGGCAACCTCTCTCCTCCACCACCTCCAGTACTCTAGTTAATCCTCTCTAGCTTTAATGCATCTGTTTAAAGTCCCTTTTAAAGGACTTTTTAAAGTCCTCAACTTCCTTCTTTATATAGAATTATTTTGTATGATTTGGACCACAGTATAGTAAAAGATATAAAATCCTAGCGTAGGAAGAACATTTAGAACATCTAATCTTCAATTAATGTAGCTCAATTATTATCATGCTCCCTCTTGTTAGTGTGTGGGCTTGGTAGTCAGCTAACTAATGACATCTTGATCTTGGTCCAGATCACAGTGGATCTAGTAGGTCTCTGGACAGTTCTTGAGATAATCAATATTCTTCTCCAACACCACAACTCAAAGGCATCACTTTTTTTTTCTGTCTTCCTTTTTTATTGTCCAACTTCCAGATGTATAGCAAGTAATTGAAAAAAAAAAAAAAAAAGCCCAAACTCCATGGCTTGTATCAGGCACACCGTAGTCTTTAAATTGGCATCCTTGCTCTTTAACACTGGAAATATCCTTGAAAACAGATTTTTACCAACATCACATGTATTTGATTTCTTTGATGAGATGGATCAATTTTGTGACTGGAGTGGTGGGAATAAGTGCATTTGAGATGGCTAGGCTGGCACAGGATAGAACGGTGTTTAGGGCTTTTGTCCATAGGGTCGCTATGAGCCCCAAACAACTCGATGGCACATAACAACAAACTACAAACTAGTTTTAAGGGTGTTGTTTGTGGATCTAAATAAGATGAAATCATTATCAGTTTTAATATTTATCATATTACTTACAGGCTGCAAGGTAAGGATTTTTGTTTTCTTAATATTGAGATATAATCCATATTGAAAGTTTTAGTCTTTGATCTTCTGCATAAGTATTTTAAGTACTCCACTTTCAGCAAGCAAGGTTGTATCATCTGTATAATGCAGGTTGTGGATGGCTTTTCTTCCTATTCAATATTCTTCGTCATGAGTCCCAGCTTCTTGAATAATTTGCTCATCATACAGAATAAATAGGTATAGAGAAATGATACAACCTTGGCACACAACTTTCTTGATTTTAAACTATGCAGTAGTCTCTTGCTCTGTTTTTTTTTTTTTTAAATAATCAACATAGTTTATTTGATACTCTTGATACACTGGATCACACTTTTACAACTCATATATGCAAAGTACACAGAAGGAGCTTGCCTATCATTTTCTCTCAGGATATATTAATGTATAAATATATGTTGTTGTTGTTGTTGTTGTTATGTGCTGTCGAGTCGTTTGTGACTCACAGTGACCCTATGTACAACAGCCCTAAACCGTGCTCTATCCTGTGCCAATCTCATTGCCTCT